AACAGTTGGATAATAGATATAACATGGTTAAATATAGCCCTGAATAGGACCCCTAATATAGACTGTTACTGGGTGGGGGCAGAACCCAAGGTTTAGGGTTTAGGCCCTAAATAGTAGAGGCGGTAATATGAACTATAACCAGCTACCTGGGTAGTTAGTTAAATTTGGGTCCCATTTTGGTACCCCTAAGTAGGTCCCATTTTGGTCCCTTTAAGTAGGTCCCATCCTAGTACCCCTAAGTAGGTCCCATTTTGGTACCCCTAAATATTAGATGCTCGTGATTTGAACTGTAGCCAAAAACGGGCCCATAATTTTGAGAACAACCCACCTCAAGTGTAGGGCTAGGGGATGCAGGGCTTACGGGGAAACCCAAACCTTAAACTTATAGTCCCCCCTTAAGTAGATAGAATATGGGGTATATGGGGATCTTATTATAATATACCCAAAGCCATATTCTATCTACTTAAGGGGGACTATAAGCTCTAGTTAAACTCCGGGTTTGACCACATGGGTCCCTCTGGACTCGTGACATACTACACTAAAGAAGGCATGATGTTGGATTCAAGGCCCTTGGTAGGGGCCCGGATGGTGGCCGGGGGAGGGGGGCGGGGTACCGGACAAATCGAGGACGTGAAAACAACGACTAGCCCCTAGACAGGCCCTAAACCCTACTTAAGCCCAAAACCTAAAGCTAAATGGAAAAGCTAGCTGAGGCAAAATCCCATATTGTCACAGGCATCAGAACTTTGGCAGCCATTTCCTTCAGCTCTGACTTCAGAAAGGTCCATCACTAGTACAGTAAGGAAGTGTAGGTGTCTTTCCAGGGTGAAGGAGCTATATATCTAAAGCTTAATCAGCGCGGTACTGGGGGGATACTATTGCAAACCCCTGAAAGCTGGCAGCTCGAGGGTGCAAACTTGCATCAGACACGCCATCCAAACACACTGTGGGGCTTTTTAAGCTTTATGATTAGTGTTTAGGGTTTGGAGTCTGGGGTCGAAGCCACTAAATCCCAAAGCTCCCAACCCATAGCCCCTAAGCCCTGAACCTTGAACCCTGCATCCTCAACCCCAGAACCTGAAGCTCGAAGTCGATAAATACTCCTACACCAGGCCCCAAAATCTATATTGGGGTTTCCCAAAATTAGGGGTACCTTTTAAAAGGGGTCCCCATAATAGGGATTATAGTATTTTGGGGTCTAGATTGGGGTCCCCTTATTTAGGGAAACTACCCTATTGGGAGCCCTAACGTCAACAACAAACTCTTATCGCATCTGAAGCCACTCAAGCTCGCCAGACCTGTCATAGGCAGCAACTTGAGCAATCTCTTTCGACTGTTGAACCCGAGTAAGATGATCTCTCCCTCATGTTGAGTACTACATCCTTAAAAGGAGAACATATTCCTACTCGATATTGGGGACCAATCAAACCTCCTCGTCCCCCAAATAATTAACACTCCCGATATAATAGTGTTTTACAAAAGCCGCAGGGAAGTATAGCTGTTAGGCGGGTCGAGGTGTGATCATTAAGGGGGAGCACCCCTAGACTACTTCTCACCTGAGAATCCGACCCAATCTGGTCGTGACGCAGGCTTGTCCACCTCCCAGAGGAACCGTTCTTCGTTGTTCATGTGAGCCCTGGACTAAATTTGTAGTATATCCCTTTATAGGTCCCCCCCAAAACCCTGTATAGTCGCCTATAGGTCCCCCCAACCCTAAACCCTAAACCCTATATGGTCCCCTATAGTCCCCTATATCGGTCCCCCTATAGGTCCCCCCCAACCTAAATTTGGTCCTCAATGTAGTCCGTAGTTCATGTGGGAGGTGCATCCCAAGTTTTAGGGGATTTAGGGTTTAGGGTTTAGGGTTTAGGGGATCCCATAGACCACAATTTTGACAGTTCTACCTAATAAACCCTAAGGGTTGGGTTTAGGGTTAGAGGTTGGAAGTTCAGAGCGTAGGGGTCTTAAAGCTCTACTTGGTGTTGGAGGGATAACTTATACTCTAGCTGCATCTAGAGATGTGGGGTTTAGGGTATAATTAAGGGCTCTGGGGGCATAAGTTTCCTGGTTATTCAGGCTTCGACATTCTCCAACTGAACAACCAAAGACGTAAGTTTGCGGCAGGGAGATTCCTTAGATTCCTCCTATCTTTTGTGAAAGTAGCCCTGGAATTGAGCTTTGGACATCAGGCTTCAAGGTACATAGTCAAAGGCGTTCCCCTAGGACGTCTGAAGTTAACATGACAGTTGGCAAGTATGCTCTCTTGAACGCTACCCTCAGATGCAGCAGAAGAAAACATGGGTCCCCTATTTAGGGAAACTACCATTAACGTTTATGTTCGGTGGAAGCCCAAACGAGTCGCCGATAAGATTCCTGCAGATTCATATGCGCCATAATCTAAATTCCTAGTATCCCCCTTAATAACCCCTATAATACTCATATATAATCCCCTGTATAACCCCTTTAAGGAGTTTAGACTATAACTCATATACCATGGAGCAGGCTATTGATGTAGGAGATCTTGAACCACCACGGGCCCCTGAAGTATTGCAATTCCTAACCCAGACTCGTGATTAATAAACCACCTCCCCTTAATAGGGACGATGATAGGGATCCTAACACTGAGACCCTAAACCCTAAACCCTAAACCAATTAATCAGGGTTCCACATTAGGAGTTCATGGACTCGAGGTGGGCAACATCTCCTCAATGAACAGGAACTTCCTACCCAAAGAGAAAGCGGCAAGCCCTGCCTTTCATGTGAGCCATAACCTTAACTCCTGAAAAGGGGGTTTCATAGGGGATTATATAGGGACGATTTTAACTATGATGGAGGTTATTGCAAATAAACCTAATTTAAACCCTAAACCCTAAATTACGGGGGATACTAGGAGTTTAGACTATGGTTCGTAACGCCCCTCCCCGGAAACTCCTCTCCTGAAGTTGTCCACAGCCTTGTTGATGCACACGATGATCCTCTTTCCCAGCTTCAGTGCTTGCCTTTACAAGGTGCTGAAAAGATGTTCGGATTTGGGGATCAGGGTTTAGGGCTTAGGTTTTTCAGGATTTCGGGCTTTGGGTTTAGGGTGTATAACGGATGTTATGATTTGGGGATTCGGGCTGAAAGCTTAAGATCTACGTTTTCTTTGATTGAGCCAGAAGGAGGCTACAACATGTACTTCAGAGAGAATTTGCTATGTTACTGATCAACTTAGCCAGAGACGTCTACACAACAGAGTAACTTTTTTGCGCTTGAACCAGGTGAGGGTATAGTCTGTATAAAAAATATACCATACCCAAACGGAGGATATGATCTTTCTCTATATTGGGTATCATAGCATCCCCAAATGAAGCAGTACGCATGAAAGGATGATGTTCAAGTCAAGAGCATTAAGGCTTCTAGCCACTGTGTTTTCAGAGCATATACACACGTAGGTTTGAGTTTTCAACGTGAGGATGACCTTACTGGTGCTCGAAAATGACGAGTGGGGGAGTGGATCGCCACAAGAACCCTACATAAACACCACATATACCCAATGATAAGATCATAAAGTTGAGGGTAAGTGTCCTGACACTGCAACGCTCGGGACTGTAAGGATATGGGAGTCCTACAGTCATTGGGCACTGTCATGACAGGTGTCCCTCTCAGACTCGACCGTAAACCCTAAACTCTAAATATCAGCCTTCATGTTCTTTTCCAGTATCCCTATATAACCCCTATATGGCCCTATAACCCTACCCTAAACCCTAAACCCTAAGCCCTGTATACATAAAATGCCGGGTTGGGGTTTGGGGCTCGGGGTTGGGTATAGCAGTGGCCAGATCTTGGGAAAGGAGCCACAAGCCTTTCTGGGAGGGCCACTTAGGGTTTAAGCTTCAGGGTTTAGGGTTTTAGGGGTTTAGGGCTTAGGATTTTAGCGATTTAGGGTTTAGGGTTTAGGGTTTAGGGTTTGGGGTTTTTAGGGGTTTAGGGTTTAGGGGTTAGGGTTTAGGATTAATTTCTGTACCCCCCCCTCCCCCCCCTCAGCACAGGCTAACGCCAGATATCCGAATTCTGAAGCTGCCCACTACCTTTTCATGACGTTTCAAGTAGAGGCCTAGGCCACTTGTTCTTCAGACTTCTGGTTGCAAGTAGTGGCTTGAGGGCTTAGGCTTTACGATTTGCTTTGAATATTGGCAATATTAACAGCATTCATAATATTCATAATATGTCTAATAAGAATAGTAGTGCTAATCGGACTATTCCAGATTAATAACAGTAATATAGTAATATTCAACATAACAAGAATGAACCATAAATCAAAAACAACCATGCGTCAGGCTTTATGATTTGCTTCGAATTCCGGAACTCTGGAAACTGGCTCGCGAGCTCAGGTCTGACCGGAAGTCATGCTATTGGTATTCATATAATTCGTATTCAAAACTATGAATGCTGTTCTTATTCTGAAAACTATTCCACTATGCTTCATATTATGCATTGAGAATGTTATGACAAAAGTTCATACTATGGATATATATATATATGTGTTATTTGAGAATACGATCAATGCTATTAATAACGCCGATATTGATGATACTATTGCTATTACTAACTCAATAGTATTCGAAATAGTTTTACATTAATAGCAGTTGAGTTTTACATTAATAAGTTGGCCCATGGTTTGTAGATATGGAGACCCCGGACACGTGCAGGCGCCAACACTTCTAACACACCCTACTGGCACTTACTGGAAACTGCAGGAAGTCGGTCTACTTGCCTCCCATCAACACTTACCTCTGAAATTCTGTGACATTTCTTATAGGTAGGGTTTTCCGGTTTTCCTGTACACTCCCCTGTTGACAAAGTCATCAAACACAAACACAACAGCATATCTTTAGACCCCGCAGCGTTATCCCAGAAGAAATTGCCGTCTGCCTGAGCACGAACTTTGTCTGCGGCATGGGGCCTTCCTGGCAAGAAATCTCTTCCTGAATAGAGGTGGTACCTTTACATAAGTCTTAAATGAGGAGACTAGGAAGTACACACTGGCTTATTATACCAGGCCTCTAAGGGGGAACCTACCCGCCTTCAACTTCCTTAGGCAAGAGGGCTGCTTTTGTATTTGAGCCATAGTCTAAACTCCTAGTATCCCCCTTAATAACCACTATAGTAGTCCCCTATATAATCCCCTATATAACCCCCTTTAAGGAGTTTAGACTATAGTACATTTAGCAGTTACTGCTTGGGGATGCTTTACAGTTAAGGGCTGCAGTCCAACCTGCTGTAATCCTTGACTTTCAAATCCTCTCACATGGGGGGTTTCCCAAGCTTAAGGGTTGTATAGAGGTTACATAGGGGTATATAGGGTTTAGGCTCTAGGGTAGGCAGACTAAGAATGCTTCAGCGCGTAGGGTTTTGACTGTGAGGTTCCCTCCTAAAAGAAAGGGTGGGGTCCTGGGTACCGACTCAAACGGGGCGTCTCCAAAAAAATCAGGGCCTTTTGGGGGTCCCTGCCAAAAGGAATTTGGAATGTAGGGAAAAAGTGGTAACCATCAGAATGCCACTAGCTTCCTTCAAAGTTTCTGGCTGAAGCTGAAACTTTAGGCCCTTAAACATCCAAACATTCCAAACCCAAACCCTAAACTCCACCTCCAACCCTAAACCTTAAGCCTTCCAGTTCTTACGCTCTGAAGCCAAAATCACTATTCTTGCGCTCCGACGCTCTGAGACGATGGCTCAGACGAATACGCTTCACAGCATGAGCCCCTCAGAACACTACAACCTGTATGATGGCTCTGGATGCAGGGCTTAGGGCCAAGGGTTTAGGATTTAGGGCCTGTATGTGCAAGGGCTTGTCTTATCTATGTACGTCTGGTATAACTTCAAGAAGCAATCAAAGGATCTGCCAGAAGGATGCTGAAGAGCTGGAACCTGCGCCGTTAGAATAGGGTTGGCAAATACATGGAGGTTTCCGGAAATCTATATCTGCAAGGACCAGAAGCGCTTCTTACTCGCATCTCACTACAAAAATTGTTTAGCCCGGCCCCAAATCCTAGACCATGCAACAGTTAAATATGCAAAAAGAGTCATAGATGAGCTCAATGAGCATGTTTTGGAACGGATAGCTGCAACCCGAAGCGCGCCTCTTAAGGACTACTGTCCTTTTAGACGGGACCCTCAGCTATTTGGAGGCTCGTTTGTGTTTGGGTAAGGTGTCACTCGGTCAACCCTTCACCCAGCACATCACTACACAGCAGCTAGACTTACTTATGGTGGAAGAAGGGTTACAGGGATGTGTTAAGGGGTTGTACTCATGTACCCAGTAATTTAAGGATCCACTGCTTATTACTCCCTACTAACCACCAGGAAGTAGAAGGCAGGGGGGTTGCAACCACAACAAGAAATGGAAACTCTCACCACGCCAGAATAGAGATGCATGTGCTGGAAATGGAAGTATAGGATCTCTTCAGACCCGTGAAGAAGCTCAGTGCTTGTTTAGGGTTTAGGGTTTAGGGCTACAGTTAGGGTTTAGGGTTAACTGTTTGAGACCCCAAACACTAAACCCTGAACCCTAAATCCTAAACCGGGTATCGGTAAGATTGGCCAGAGTCACCGCAGCATCAACAAGAAGGAGGCAGCCGTCTGCCTTTGCTGCTCAGAAGAATAAGTTTAAGAACCTGAAAGGTACCGAAGTCAAAACTATTTTGCATCGAGGCCGCCATTTAAGGCAAGGTAGGGTGAGGTTGTTATACTTTGCCCAGGTTTGAGGGCCGTTTTGCAGGACGTTGCGGATATTGCCTGGCTTCTAAGGTATTTATCATGGGAGTTCACCGCAGGTTCTCGGTCTGGGGGAAACTTGCTGCTGGTTCGTGAGTTAGGGAGTGGATCCCTGTAGCAGCGTTCAACATGCAACCTAGCAAACCTTTTGAGGTGATCTTCCTGGTTTTCATAATCATATAACCGTAATCAAGTATAACCCTGAAAAAGGTTCCGTAGTAGTGCCTAAACCATCCCATCCTTATCTCCTGAGACAGGTGCCATGTTCAGGATGCGCTCCACTTCACCACCGAAGTCGGCGTGGCCCGGAGTGTCCACGATGTTGATCTGGTAGGGTTAGGGTTTAGGGTTGTCAAAAGAATGGTCCCTGCTTACATGTTCTCCATATTGGGGGCCAGAAACCTCTGGGGACACAGAGAGAGATCACAATGTGACAACGTGCCATTCGGCACACAGACTGCAGCTTCGGGTTCCTCTCAACCCTAAAACCTAAACCCTAAAACCTAAACCGTAAAACCGAAACCCTAAACCATAAACCTAGTCATGATGGATTGTCAGAAAGTCTCGACCTGCTTGGTGTTGAATGCCCTGAGCCTTGGCAGATGCGCACAAGGCTTGCGCTGAGCCCAAACACTGAACCACAAGCAGTGAGGGTTTGGGGTTTAGGGGTAGATCTTGAAGTCTATTTGAGGCGCCGTAAACCAAACTCCATTCCACAGAATCCAGTGTGGTTGGGGGCTCATTCTCACTTTCACAATAATGGAAGCTTCTCGGGCTGCGCATCCTTCATTTGGAGTTGATAGACTTTAGGATGAATACATTAGGAGGACCCCCCACCCAGTAATAGTGGTATACTCGGGATATAAGAGGACCCTAATATAGTCCCCTTATAGCCACTATTACAGGGTGGGGGGTCCTCCTAATGAATACAGAATGTTTCAAGATTAACTGGCAAAGTTAACGCCTACCGTACCAGAGCATGAAATCAGGTCGTGGTATAACTTCCACCAACCAGTACCCGAGGCCCTCAAAGTTCAGGGAAGCCGGGAGGGTCAAAACCTGCGGAATTGCTTTCTTTAGGTTTTCAGGTAAATGAACCCCCAAAGTATGTAGAATAATTGCCTTCCCCAAAGTATGTAGAATAATTGCCAATAATTGCCTTGTGGCCAATTTTTAAGGTGCGGGCAATTTTTTGCCTACTTTTGGGGTACGCCGAAGAAAGGCCACTTGAATATGCCACAGCGCCAAAACCAGGTCTGCATACAGCCTGAACAAGTACCTTACCAAAGGCGCGATTCATATGGTAGTTTTCCGAAATAAGGGACCCCTATATACACCCCCAAATAAAATAACCCTTATTATGGGGCCCCCTCGAACGGTACCCCTAACGTTGGGAAACCCCTAAACCCTAAACCCTAAATAGTAGCTTCCATTGTCTTTTTCCACTATCCATTTATAACCCCTATATACTTATCCCTATATAACCCCTATATACTTATCCCTATATAACCTCTATATACTTATATATATATATATCCCCTATATACTTATATATATATATAGAGCTCGGGTGACAAGAGTAGGGGGCTCAGCTTCACGAGCAGGAGCAGGAGTATCCCTGCTTTCGGTCCCTGCGTCAGGAGGACTTTCGCCCAAGACCCCTAAACGCTCAGTCCCCCGAAAGCCGAGTGTAGAAGCTTAAAAACTTGAAGAGCTCTAGGCTCTCAAGAATAAAAAGACTTTCCATTCTTGGTAGCCTAGAGCTCTTGTATCTTTCTGTTCTAGGGTACCTCAAATAATTGAACCTTAAAATGATATTGCTAATTGTTGAAGAGGCCCCTACAGCAAACCATAAACCCCACATGTGCCGTCACCTTGATTCCCTTGTAGGTCACAGCGGCGTTCTTCGCCAGAATGGTGATGCCACGCTCCTGCAGGAAACCACGTGTAGGTTTGGATTGGGGGGTGTTAGGGTTTGGGGTTAGGATACGGTTTGGCATTTCGAATTTAGGGTTTCCGTAAGGCTGGCGCCCAGAGACCAAGCAGAAATGGAAGCCATCGCCTACCTAATATTAAACACCTCCGCCTCACAATATCAAATATGGAGGTTGGGGCCCAGTGGGGGTCCCAAGAATCAGGGTCTAGCACGTTGGGGTCTACATTGGGCTCCCCTGTTTATGGGAACTACCACATGTCCCGCAAATTCAGGCCTCAAGTAGCGAGAATAATGCTGAGGGGGGCGGGTGTTTACTATTAGGGAGGGGCCTTACCCTACGCAATGCTTGGAACGGTGGTAGATGGACTTCTGGCACTGCGCAACCCTGCTTTGTATACTCTGCAGAAGCCCAAATATATACCGATATCATTGTTGAGGTCCATTTGAGCTACCCCGTACTGTATTTTTTATACAAGGACCCATAAACCCTAAACCCTGAACTGAGGAACCTAGGACCTAGGACCATGATGTCGGTGATTAGCTTAGGCGTCTGCAGGATGCGGCCCGTATTCATTGGGCCCGCGCTTAACATTCCACACCCATCTCTTCCTAGACCCTCCTTCTACCCTCTATTAGGGCCTAAGTACCCGCTATTAGGGACCATTTCGCCCCAGTTAAGGGTACAAGGAAGGTCCTGGTTGACACTGAACCTTAGCCTAGGGCCAACAAGAAGAACAGAAGCAAATACGTTGATAGCCCTTGCTCCGCCAAAACCATGCAACGCCCCTTGTTATACATAGCCAAGCTTAAGAAGGTAGGGAGATCTCCCAAGGAGCCTCGGCTTAGGCAGCTTTTGGCTTCTCCAAACATAAGTCCTAAACCCCAGGCCTATGAACTTTAAGCCCGAACCTATAGTCCCCCTTAAGTAGATAGAATATGGGGTATATGGTGATCCTATTATAAAATACCCACAACCATATTCTATCTACTTAAGGGGGACTATAAACACTAAACCTTAAATCCCGGTAAGACCTGCTCCAACTGGTCGCTGTCCATGGACTTCACCTTTTCCATGCCGCACCTTGGGGCTTAGGTCTTGAGCTTGTGTATCGCAGCAGGGTTTGGGGTGTAGGGGTGCTAGGGCGTAGGTTTAGAATAGTATTTAAGGTGTTGGGGCTTCGGGTTTGGTACTGGGTTTAGTCTTGCGTTCTGTATTGGGTCTAGGGTGGGGTTTAGGGTATAGGATTCAGGTTGCTGGGGGTTCGGATTTAGGCATCAGCGTTCTGGTTCGTATGGCCTTCGGACTTGCGGTCGGCAATCACATTCGATCTGAATGAATGGGGTTTAAGGCATGAGCTCTGGCGACTTACCTTGGATTTAGCATCATTGAACTGTTGACGGCAAGGCCAAGGAAATGAAAGAGGCTCACAAACTTGATCCGCCTTACTCAGTACTTTGAATCCAAACACCTGGCATCCTCCTTAATAACCCCTATAATTCTCCCCTATATAACCCTTTATATAAGCCCTTTTAACGAGTCTAGACTATGGCTCAGATGAAAGCGCTGTCTACAGCTGCGCATCTACCAGCCGGCAGTTTCCCTTGCTCGTTAGAGAAACCCTAAACCCTTAGCCTTAAGCCCTAATCAAGAAGCAGCTGATGCAAAACCCCTGGTAGAGACCTTCAGGCTGTTGCCTGGCACCACTTTGGAGGGTCCTACATACCAAAAACCATACAAAAAAAAAGAAAAGGCGTAAATGACACTCGTGCAAACAGGGAGCTGCTTCATGAGCGCGTTGGTCAGTGTGGTCCTTGGGCTGTGCGTTCAAAACACCAGTGACGGGCATGCGTTACTGACCAACGGGGTAAGTAGGGATTGGGGTTCACAGTTTAGAAGAGATCAAGCCTGAGGTTTTCCCCCATGCAGTGCATCATGACTCAAATCCAATTCCCTCAATCAATTTCTAGTTTTGGGAAATATATATTTTTTTATATGTTGAGAATGTCAGCTTGATCCTTGCGTAAGCATTCCTGGAGGATGTAGTAGCCTACTTCTTTGACACGGTGACGAGAAATTTGTCCAACATCCCCAGCAGCAAGCCTATTCCTAGATGAGCAGCGTTGTTTTTGGTTGAGCGCAGTAAGATAATATTCTTTGTACAAAATAATATACCCCAAAAGGAGGATATAATCTTTCTCTAAATATTAAGTACCATAGTATCCCCGAATAAAATGTCGACTAAACCCGAAACCCTGAGCCCTAAACCCCCTAACCCCCTACTCAGATGTGCAAGGCTCGCAAAAGGTATCGCATAGGCATGTGCCACAATGATGCCCTTTTTGCGGGCGTCCCAACACTAAGGACCCTGTCTTGTTGTGTTGCTTACAGACTGCTAGAAGATCAGAAGCTTCATTAGGTAATCTCTGTGGCTTAAGGGCTGTCAAAATGTTGGGAACCTCAATTACCAGCCCCACATGCTGGGTGGGCTGCTCGCTCAGGGTCCATGTGACACTAGGGATTCACGCGAAAAATCCTTCCAAGATCGCGGCTTGCCGTGATCGACATGGGCAATAATCGCAATGTTGCGAATGTCCTTCGCAGCGCCAATTTAGATGGGCCGTGTGCTGGTGACTGGCCGGTGACTGCAGTAACTACACATCCTACTTTTGGAGCCTGAAGGATTACCAATATCATGCTATGCTGGGGTCAAGTGGGCAAGTCAGCCGGGTAAGGGTTCGCAACATACAAATCCCAGGTTTGGAGATGCAGGTTGAGGGTTCTAGGGTTAACGGCTTGAGGTCTATAGGGTTTAGGGTTCTAGGGTTGACGGCTGGAGGTCTAGTTAGTGTTTTAGGGCCAGGGTTTGGCGGGGCTTAGGGCTTTCGCAACATGAGAGCAACCTACCATAAACTCTAAACCCAAACCCTAAATCCTAAATCCCTAGACCCGAAAATCCTAGACCCTAAAATCCTTAACCCTAAATCCCTAAATCCCGAAACCCTAAATCCTTAAAACCTAAATCCCAAACCCCCAAACTTGCCCATCCCGGCCTCTCGCTCCACAACACCCGGCTTCTCCAACGTGGCCACTCGGAGGGGTGCTGGCAGCCTGTTCTGTTTAGGGCTTAGAGTTTGGGATTTAGGGTGTAGGGTTTGGAATTGAGGGTTTAGGATTTGGGGTTTAGGGTTTGGAATTGAGGGTGTAGGGTTTGGGATTTAGGGTTTGGGGTTCAGAGTTTGGGGAGGAGCCATCTATTCAATGAGACAGTCCTGCAATACCCGCAGTCCCCTAACTCCTCTGAATCTTAAAATTGAGATTCGAGCTTAG